AGGAATGATAATCAACTGAATCAAGAGAGGCTCAAATGCTTCAAGAGGTCAAGAAATTAGCAGAAGAGATATTGAAGGCCAGATAGGAGGTAATGAAGGCCAGAGAAGAGGTTATGATAGTTACAATAGCTATAATGATAGAAAAATTCAATGCAATACAAGATGCATCATCAAGGCAAAATAAGAGGACTAGAGAAGGCATTTAGTAGTAAAATTACATTTTAATATTGTTATGTCTTAAAACTTTACATTCTTATTTCATTTTTTTTATATTAAATATTTAAATATAGTTATCAAATTGTATTATTAAAGATTTTTACATTTGAAAATAATTGCATTCTAATGTTTAATTACTTTTCATGTATGCTTGTGATAAATTACAATTGAAATGATAGATATACATTATAGGAAATGAAATGAATTTATGTATTACAGCAATTACAGTACTAGTGACCCCTAAAATAGGTCATAAAGAGATTACAAAATTAATAACTCAATTGTGACCCTACACACAGTTAGGATAATAAGTTTAATGGAGTCATAGTGACCGACTAGTGATGGCAAAATGGTGGAAACTAATTAGTTACCGCATATGGAGTCACTAAATGCATATTTAATTTGGTTAATAAAAAGGTCACTAAATAATTAGTGACCGAATGAAGTCGGTCACTAATTAGTGGCAACAGATTGTGGTCACTATTTAGTGACCGAACTACTAGCGGTCACTAATTAGTAACCGACTTACCACGCAGTGAAAGAATGAATTACTGACTCTCATTAGTGGCTAATTTTCATGGTCACTAATTAGTGATTGATCTTTTGGTCACTAATTAGTGATTGCCTTGGTCATTAAAATTATTAGTAACAAGACTTTTTTCGACTGAACAAATTGGTCACAAAAGTGGTCAATGATTCGTTCAGTGACCGTGACTCTTTGCATTTAGTGACCGATGGTGCGGTCACTAAATTGATTTTTTCTAGGTGTGAATGTAAAATTAAAATATTAAAGTAATTAAAGGTAAATAATTTAATTTATAGTTACTGATGCATATTAGTGGGTCAAAAAATTCAACAAAAAATAAATAAAATAAATAATTTAAGAAATCATGAATTATTAAAAAATAAAATACATTATATTACCAACCAAGGGGCATCGGTAAAGTAAAATAAAATAAAAACAAAAGTATCAAAAATTATTAAAAATAAAATATATTATATTACCAACACAATGATGTGTCGGTAAAGTAAAACAAAACAAAAATAAAAAATATTAAATTATTAAAAAATAAAATAATTATATTACTGATGCATACATGTGTTAGTAAAGTAAATTAAATAAAATTAAATAATTTTAAATTATTTAAAAAATGAATAAAAATTTTAAATTATTTCAAAATAATTATCGACTCAATTTTGCGTTGGTAATTTAAAAATTGCATTGGTATTTTAAAACCTTAAATTATTTGAAAATATATTACTAACACAATATTGTATTGGTAATTTAAAAATCTTAAATTATATAAAAATATATTACCGATGGAAAATTTCGTCAGTAATTTGTGTTAGAAAATCTGCATCCGACTATGTAAAGTTCTGATATTAATTTGCGACACAACTTGCATCGAAAAATTATCGACGCACGGCGCTTTGCATTGATAAATTGTTTCTGATGATTATATTTTAAATGCAATTCTTTGCATTGTTTAATATGTCAGAAAGCTGATTTTTGACGTATATTTTGTATTTATCGATGCAAATTATACATCAATAATAATCGCTTTTTCTTGTAGTGTATAATTCTTATTTTTTTCCTTCTTTTTCTTTCTAGAAGGAGTGAAATGGTATATTGAATTATGTTACGTAAGTGGACTCAGCATGGGGAGATCAATTCAAACAGGCATGATTAAAAATTTGGTTGAATGTTTAATGAAATGTCTTCGATGTCTCTCACTTCGCAGCACTGACGGATCCATGATTTATCTTAAGGGGGGCAAGAAAGAATATAAAAGTTAAGTATATTTAAAAAATATAACTAATTAAATAGCTTGCTCATTTATATCATAAAATTTATATAAAAATAACTTAATTATGCATTTATTTGAGTATGCCATTTTTTATATATTAATTATTTATTATACAGTACATTAAGCCTTGACATTTCTCCAAATTGACATTTCTTTAAATTGTTATCTTGTTTATGACAATTTTTAATAGTTTTAATTATAGAGTATAATATACTAACTCAATCTTATTTATATTTAATGGAACGAATCAATTATTACTAAGTAAGGTATGGTTTTTATAAGTTTTTAAAACTAATAATTTTAACTATAATAATCCTAAATATAGGTATAGACGTGGAATTAGAGTTGAAAAAGTCTAACCTCACCAATAAACTAGTTCGTTAACTGATTTGAAATATATTTTTAATATTTTGTTAGTATTTTGTTTTATTACACGTAAAGACTCACCATCTAGATATTTTTTTTTCTTTTTTGTTGTCTATATCATATACAAATAATTAATTCACTATTTCCTTTGTGTTCCCAAAGTGATTTGAAAAAAAAAAAAAAAATCAATATAAAACTTATATCTACAAGCCATCCAAGAGATACATAAATACAGTAAATAAACAATAATAAAATAATTAATAAATAACATTTGTGAGAGTGTGCATCTATATCGTAGGTGAATGAGAGAAGAAGCCTAATAATACAAACTTGCTTGGACGGATGAGAGATAAAGTTTGGCTACTTTACTTTTACTTTTATTTTTTGGGTTTACTAATACTATATGTTGAACCGCAGTAGCACTATTTAAATACTTTCATTTGCTTTTGCTATTTTGATAGAAATCGCTGTGAAAATTGAATCAGAATACAAAGACTGGAACGGCGGATGAAGACACTACCATTAGATTTGAAAATTGAGCTGCGGGTGAACTATAAAGTTAAAATTACAAATTGTAAGATAAAAATACTCAATCAATTGAAAAGAGATATGCAGTACACTTTTAGCAATTTTGGTAAAATTATCTTTTTGTATTTTATATTTTAATCCCTATAAATTTTTAACATGATCCCCTCATATTAGCTTTTTTTTTTTTATTTTAAACTCTCTAAATTAAGTGCCCAATTCTAAATTTGTTTAAATTATGTCTATAAATTTCTAATTTATTTAAATAGATCCTTCAATGCAATGAATCTTCAAGTTAAAATATTTTTTTTTGGGGGGATATAATTTATATACTAATTATGTTATATTAAAACAAAATTTTTAAATTTAAGGTCTCAGTAGAAGTCTAAAAGCCTATACTAATTCGCAGAGAAAAGATCAATAGCCTTGTCCAATAAAAAATGAACAGGCCTCAGTAGATGTCATTTTCTCTTATTGGGTCAGAAAACCAATATTTTCATCTGACGCGTGATCATTAAAGAAATTCAATACGTCGTTTTTTGTTATTCAATAATAATTAATTAGTCAGACAATGCCAAGTTGAATTATTGGCGCCTTAATAGAAACATCAGGAAATTAATTTGCAGGTTTAATTTTAAAAATTAAAGGTTTTGTCAAAAAAAAGGGATTTTTCAGAGTTTTAATTAATTAATTGGTTAGTTAGAATTATCATCATTGCAGACAATAATGGCTAATGAACAGTTTTGGTTGAACAATGGCAGGGCTGCATGTGGTCAAAAATATGTTGGTCCTATTAACGGGACCCAAGTACACTGGAAAATATCTTCATTGGGGGTCACAAGGGAGAAGCTGGGGAGACCCAGTTGCATCAGACCTTGACCAATGCTGTCATCCCCACCTTCGATGTCAAGAACTTACAGCCCACCATTTTTAGCACTTAGCGGTCTCTCTCTCCCTCTCTCTCTCTCTCTCTCTCTCTCTCTCTCTGAAATTTCAGCACTAAATAATTAACAAGGTCATTGAAAATTACTATAGTAAATTCTTTCGTCGTCCTGTGTTGCTGATTTGATCATAAGGAAAATAAATTAATATAAATGTTGACAGCCGTCGGAGACTAGACGACAGAGGAAGACGCAACAGACGCGCAGAAAATGGTATACTGTCAACTTCTGTGAAGACTAGGATGAGCCGTCCAGCAAGAGTCCAAGCTGAAAAAAATTAAAAAATTACTTTAAAAAGACTTGGATTATCCCTACTTGTAGTTCAAGTTTTCATGCTGGCTAAAGAAATGTTTATTACTATAGGCTTTTGGACTTCTATGTTCTATTGGCTTAGTTATATAAGTATTGACTGTCGACATTTTCAGCTTATTAGACTCAAAAACTAATTCCCAAAGTTTAGAAATGCGCATTGTGAAACATCTTAAGGCTTCATGTAGATTGGTTTCTATGCCTTTCAAGGAAGAGACTTCTTAAACCTCTTAGAGTTGTAATCCAATTACACTTGAAATTGTAAAAAGCAGTTTTTGACCTATACCAAACAAGGTATAACAGTAAATTTTTAGACATTTTTGCTACCCTTTGAGTTCCGAATTCCATGCTGATACCTCTCATTGAGCCAGGACAAAAAAGATGACTCTTGTTGGTTTCACAATATTAGGCTGCGCTGTCAATAAGGTGGCCATAATTGTTTACTCAAGTTGTTTCCTACCTGATGGCAGGTGAAAAAATAAAAAACTTGGATGCCCTACTATCTGCATCAGCACAGCTGCTGCTCCAACCTATCTTCCTGCCCACCACTTCACCAACCAGGACGATGATCGAAATGTTAGAGAATTCAACCTCATTGATGGTGGTGTTGCTGCAAATAACCCAGTTGGATTATTGCTTGATCCAATTTTTAAGAAAATACAAAATCCAGATCACAAGAAACCAAAGTTAACGAATCATTGAACTGTAATTCAGGGATTTCTGCTTTCTAAATCAATATATTCTACATGATTAATTCCTTTAGGCTTTGGTTGCCATAAGCCAAGTAACCAAGAGGATATTTGAGCAAGACCCAGACTTTTTCCCCATTAAGGCCATGGACCACGGACGATTTTTGGTGATATCAATAGGAACTGGCTCTGCAAAGGTGGAGCAGAAGTACAATGCAAAAATGGCAGCCAAATGGGGAGTACTGGGTTGGTTGATTCATGGAGGCTCCACCCCACTAGTTGATGTGTTTACTCAAGCCAGTGCTGATATGGTTGACTGTCACAACTCCGCTTTTCCCAAGCTTTTCATTCCGAAAACAATTACCTTCGAATAAAGGTTTAATTCCTTTTGAATTCTACGCATTTAAATTTCCAAAAAAGAAAAACAAGAAGGGTTTCCAGAGAGATTTCTTACCCTTCATCAATTTTACACTCAACAATTAATTTCAGGAAGATACATTGAGTGGGAAAGATGCTCCGGTTGATGTGTCCACCAAGGAGAACTTGGAAAACCTATTTGAAATCGGAGAGAGGTTGTTGAAGAAGCCGGTTTCGAGGGTGAACTTGGAGATGGGTCTCTCCGAGCCAATTGAAAACAGTGGCACGAATGAAGATGCTTTGAAAAGGTATGGATGCTGTTTTCAGGATGGCAAAGTGCTAAATTGTCTTGTGTGTGAAAAATGCCTGGAAAAATTAATTTCTGGTCTATGGATGTCAGGTTTGCAAAACTGCTTTCGGATGAAAGGAAGCTTCGGGAGCTAAAATCGCCATTCACCAAGAACGGTCAGTGTCAGGGCCCGACCCAGACTCTGACCGGCATTTGGGTCCCCGACCCTAATCAGTCTTACCGTCACAAACAAACACCGCAATTGACCAAAACATTTATATACATATATCTTAAAACTGTCATGTACAAACTAAGATCCTACCTGAGGGATAAAGGGAATCTTAGAGTACAAAATGATAAACAAGAACTCGCCCGTACAATGACTGGAGTGGCAGACGATCGTCTCGATCCTGACACGCAACCCGAGATAAGCAACCTATATCTGGAAAGGTTATAATAGGTGAGTCGCGAAACTCAGTGAGTACGGACGATACCTACTCTATCCATGTCAGAATATGCGTCATGTCACAATTAAAACCATACTGACATATACAACAATTAATAACACATCAACTATACTCTAAGATATCACTAATCACGCATCACACCGCAGCACATCACACTGCAACATATCAAATCACATCATAACACTGGACCCAGGTTTACTCACCACTAGACGCTACGGATCACCGTACTCCAGCCGAGTTCCTGGCATCGTCAAATCACACACGACCCAGCCACTCACCACTAGATGCTACGGAACACTGTACTCCAGCTGAGTTCCTGGCATCGCCAAATCACACACGACCCAGGCCACTCACCACTGGACGCTACAGATCCGTACTCTAGTCGAGTTCCTGGCGTCTCTACATCACATCACACAACAACACATCCACACGCACAAGTCTAAAACATACATATAACAATCAATACCAACATAAAATATACACAAATCTGGAAGTTCAATGATCACTGAGACTCTGGCTTCGATCGGAGGAATTCTCCGTCTCACGATCAGGCCCTAACACGATCACACATCACGCTCCGGTTGAGAGCTATCCTCCATCTCACAACCGGAGCTACACGCCCACCAAGGGTACCATCACACGCTTCCGGTCGAGAGGCATCCTCCATCTTACGACCGGAGCCACATGGTCTCAGCGCATCATGAACTCCCCACACATTCATACAAACAGGCATACAACATGTATAGTTTCTAAATCCCAACCCAGTTTTACATATCAATATATTTATCCCACCAAACAGAAAATAGCACATAATACATATCATACGATTCATGTATTCAGATACAGTTTATGAATCCACACCATTATCATGCTAGGAAACTAGGCACACAAAAATACATGCACAGAAAGGGTATCGTCACTCACCGTAGGCCGAATCTAACAAAAGCCTCAAGTCACGTCAATCAACCCTCCGGCCCCGGTGCTCCTCCGCAGGTGAACCTGAAGTCAAAATCATACAAAACCATCACTGACCTCATTGTCAGTACCCAAACGGCTCGACAGCCCAAGACGGGACTTAAATCCCATTTCCGTACCTAACACGCATCCTAAGACACCCTTACCCATCATCGAATCCCGTGCAACTCACTAATACTCATACTTCGGCTTAACAACCCTTAACAGTAAAGGACCAACCTCCACAACCCTCAACCCACAGTGAACGGGTCTCGAAACGCCAATTGGCGAAATCCCCAAAGAAATCGAATGTAAATAAAAACCTTGAAATCAAATGGACTCAGAACCCGAACAAAAACCTATTCAGATAAGGATGGCCAAAGGAACCATTAAGGCAAAAACCTAAAGCCGAACCGGGCCAAAAACCCTAATTTGGATATCGGCACGCAAATTGAGGCTAGTTCACCTTGAACCAGACCTCCAAATATCACCAATTCCATGGTCAACTAGGTTTTATCTTATTAAACCAGGAACTGGTTCAATCTCCTAAAAACTGGCTCAAAAATCGGTAAAACCGATCACTCGAAGGAATTCACTAAATCGGCCAGTTCACCTCGAACCGGTCACCCAAAATTTTCGAACTCACTTGGTTTGATAGGTATTTTCTCCCTGAATCCAGAATCGGTCCAACTTCCCGAATCCGAGTCCATTTGACCATTGAATCGGCCGATCAAACCTTGGACCATTTCTGGCCGGTTCAGTCAACTCCCTGAACCTTAATCCCCAAATCTTGGATTATGCTATCCCCAATTAACCTATATCCCTGATTCCTTATCCCCCTGGAATATTCTATTCCAATTTTCCTCTCTGGGTCAACTCGGCTGAGTTGACCCAGCCTTCATCTTCATTGGCCGAGTCGACCCAGTGGGTCAACACAGCTTAGTCCCACCTGGGCTTAGCCCGCGGCTCAGCCCACTGGCCCGCAGCCTTCCTGGGCCGAGCCCAGCCCAACAGGGCGGGCCGGCCCAACACAGGGACCCGGACCCATCCGGGTCCCTTCTTCCCCACCCGGCCCTTGCCCCGGGTCTGTACCCCGTCCCCCCTATCATGGCTGGCCCGCAGCTCAGGAGCCGTGGGCCTGTAGCCCGGGGCAGGCCAAGCCCGAGCCGACCCCCGTTCGGGACTTGGCCCAGCTGGGTCCCTTCTCTCTCGCCTGACTGGGCGGCCCGAACCAGCCATCCGGGTCTGTAACAGACCCGGATCACCCAATCCCCCAAATCAAAGCAAATACTCACTTACCCAGCTAATTTCAGTTTCTCAAACTCACCTTCAGTGATCCACAAACCCAGTGCCAGCCTCTAATCGGAGAAAACCCAACTCGATCACTCGAATCTTTCAGATTTGCCTTCGTCGGAGCCGCGGAGCTCCCTGCTCGAAATTTCTCCCTCTCTCTCAAAATTTCTCTCAATTTCCCCTTCCTTCACTCTCGTTTAACCCATGTATATCAGATTGCGAAAAGTTTTTTGAGGTGTTGAGCTCCTATTGGAGCTCAACTTTCTTTCACACCCTTCGGCTGGTTTCTGGCCGAAGGCCCCCCTTTCCCCAAATTTTTTTTTTTCAATTCAGTCCCCCATCTTTTGATCTCTCCTTTTAAATCCCCAAATTTCCAGATTCATCCCAAACATTTTAATTAGTGCAAAATGGTCCCTAACAAAACTAAAAATAATTTAGGACATTACAGTCAGCTTGAAGAATTACTCGTGAATTACTCCTTTCTAGTCCTGTTCATCCAAGTACGCTTATTGTTATTTGATTTATTACATAAATTACCTGTTTGATCTCCAGCTTGTGTCTCCTTATTTGTACTCTTAGGTTTAAATTAAATTTCTTGTTTATGTGTGTAATTTCTGATTACAACTTGAAATTGTATCCTAATTTATTATTTATTTTTATTTTATGAAATAAACAGTGCAAAAGTCATGATTTTTGGAGGTCTTCACCAATTTTCTTCTTTAAAAAAATGTGCATCATCACTGTTATGTGAAGTCGCCAATATTTTAAATTGGATCCTGACAGGAACGAAACTTGCACAACCAAAACAAAACCCCAGCACATGGTGGCAGGAACCCAAAAGCGAAACCTGTACATCCAAAACGAAACCCTAGACCCTACCCATACAGGAACCTAAAAGATGGACTATACAGCAGTTCACAAGAACACCCACTGAGCCCCTGAAATTGGCAAAAAATTGGGCATAAAGTCGGACAATAAGAACAAATGCTGGAGGAAAGAGGGCCTACCTGCCCATCGAGCTAGAAGCTGACAGACATTCCAGAACAAACGCCCATCGAAAACAGAGGATCAGCCAGCCCAACAACCAACCAACCAAAACAGCGAATACCAAAAAGACCAGTGCGACGACTGCCGAACAAGAGGAGGGCAAACCATCATGCAGCCACATTTCTGAGAAACAGGTCTCCGTTGAAACCAAAGAAACCAAGGAGTGGCCTCCCCTTGACTGCGCCCAAAACGATAGACATTTATGATATAGAAAAACAAAATACTAAGTAGAAAAGTTATTTGTGATAGGAATATTGAATGACCAAATAAAGCATATTTAAAAATTTTTGGACAGTTTTTTAAGAAGATAATTTGAAGGAAAGGATCTTATTTACACGTGGTCCATCCATGAATGAAATAAATTTTCCCAGAGATGGAAAGGTCTTGTTTTTGTACATTATTATTAAGCAATGGGTTAAATAGCGAGGATTATTTTAAATTTTTAATCACCAATAAGTATTTTTCCTTTGTTTTCAAAATAAAATTGATGACATAAACTGTCACAAATTTCACATTAAACAAGTTGAATAAGATATATTGGGTTATAAGTGCAGATTACTATATACCTTTATAAATGCATCTTTTGAAAAGATGGTAATAATCTTGTGATAAGTAGTATTAGAGTCAATTTTGAGAGACTAATCGGTGGTGTTGTAACCCACACATGAGCATTTCCGATGTCTCCACAGAGATGAGCAGGGTGGTGGGAGGTTGTAAACCATACCTTGACAAAGGCATCCAAAGACGTCCAGGGCTGAAGTAAAAAAAAAAAGGTGTCATAGATCTCAAATTAAATAAAGTGAAAAAAAGATATCGAATTACAAGAAAATGTACTGTATACCCTAAAAAATATATTTTTTGGAAAAAAGAGTACTGGTCTTGTAACGCAAGTCACAAATAGGTACATTGAATGAAGTTGTTACACAATTTTCTACTTTAGTTGAGACTTCTCTAGAGCATGTTTGTTGAATATTTCCCGAGTAATCTTCTTTTAGAAATGAACATGTTTTGAAGGATTGGGATGTTAAAATTAAGACATAAAGTTGAAATTTCCATGCATGCATGACACTGTCAAGAGTTAATTTCTATTGCTGACCCCATCTTTGGAAATACGCGTTTCATTAACTATCTATTTATTTTTCAACATTAATTTGGTGACGATCTCATATATTATTTAATCTTTTAGAATAGTTTAGTCATGACGAACGTAACTTAATTCTTCTTGTTCTTTCATGCTAGCTTCCACAAGATGGGTTGACAGTTGACCACGAAAGCTGTCATCCCTTGGACTGACCCCGTCACGGATGGTGCCATACGGAAGAAATGTAAGAAGGCAAATGTGGGTGTACAAATATAAAAATATATTAAATATTTTATAAATTTAAAATAATATAAAAATATATATTTTTTTATTTATACATCATAACTATTTTAATTGAAAAAAAAAACTCAACAAAAAATGATAAATAATAAAAAAATTTTAAACTGGGACCAGCACAGCATTTTGTTTAGTAAAAAAAGCGAGGAAGGACACCTGCAGGTTTTCTGGCAGCGGAAAGGACTGCTAAAAGGACCACCATACCCGGTGAAGCAGTACTGCAGATTAACGGGCGGGTGTTTGTAAATGTTTCTGTTTTTAAAAATATATATTTTTTAAAAAATTAATTGATATTAAACATAAATATAAAAAATTTATAATATATTTTATATCGTTAATTTGATTAAAATTGACATGATATATTAATTATAATTATTTTTTAATTAATTTTTAATAATTAATTTATATTTAAATTAATTATAATTAATTTATACTATTAATTTTAATAAAATTAATAGAATAAGATGAGATATAAGTTTTTACACTTATATTTGATGTCAATTAATTCATTCTTTTTAAAATATATTAAATATTTTATAAATTTAAAATAATATAAAAAATATTTTTTATTTATGCATCATAATTATTTTAATTGGTAAAAAAAATCAATAAAAATAATAAATAATAGAAAAAATTTTTAAACTGGGACCAGCACAGCATTTTGTTTTTTAAAAAAGCATGGAAGGACACTTGCAGGTTTTCTGGCAGAGGAGAGGACTGCCAAAAGGGACCACCATACTCGGTGAAGCAGTACGTGCAGACTAACGGGGTGTCTGTAAATGCTTCTGGTTTTAAAAATATATATTTTAAATATATTAAATATTTTATAAATTTAAAATAATATAAAAATATATATATTTTTATTTATACACTATAACTATTTTAATTGATAAAAAAAACAACTCAACAGAAGATGATAAATAATAACTATTTTAATTGACAAAAAAAAACAACTCAACAAAAGATGATAAATAATAGAAAAATTTTTTAAACCGAGACCAGCACAGCATTTTGTTTTGTAAAAAAAGCAAGGAAGGACACTTGCAGGTTTCTGGCATAGGAGAGGAATGCTAAAAGGGACCACATAATGCCTGAAGAAGCACGTGAATAGGAGTAGGTAAAATTAAATTTTAATTATAAATAGAGAATGTTTGTAAAATGTGTAAAATAGTATTCAAAATTAATAAAAAATGTTTAAAAAATAATTTTGTAAAGTGATTATAAAAAAATTTTTGAAATGGGAAAGATTATCTTACCCCTATATATATATATTTTTTATTTTTTTCATTATTTACATTTTTTTTCCTCTTTTCTCTCTGTCATTGTCAGTTACCCCACCGGTTGCCACGCCTAGCAGGCGAAGACAGAGCTCCCCATGGCCACTGTGCCCCATCACTGTGCTCAGCAGCGATGTAGCTCCCCGTCACTACGCATAACCCCCTCCTTGTCGTCGCACTCAACCCTTTCCCCGTCACTGCGTGCAGTGGCGACGGAGCTCCCCATCACATGGGAGGGGGCTTGAGTGGTGGGGGGGAGGGGGAGAGAAGGCAGTCTGTTCGGCGGTGGCAGCGGCGGCGGCCTGTTCGGCAATGGATAGAGAGGGAAGGAGAGAAGAGAAAGGGGTAAGGGTGGAAATAATGAAAAAATTTGAGAATAGAAGAGTCCAAATAAATTTAAAACAATTTTGATTTAATTACAAAATTATCACAGAAGTTAAAAGCAATCTCTCTCCTACTTCAAGTTTTTTCACTATTTACAGCTTAATTTAAGTGAAGTCGAAGTTAAAAGTAATTTTATAGACACTCAAAATCACTTTTTAATCATTGAAAAGTTGATAAGCTAGAAGCAAAAGTATTTGCAAGTATCCCCTAAATTCATGAATTTCAAAGAAGATGCATCGAGCCATTATTGAATTAATCATGGAAATTTTTGAAAATGAAAACTCTATAAATACCCAAAATCACCAACGAGTAATACTCAAATTTAGAACTTAAAATCTCTCTGCAAAGGCCACCCAAAAACTTTATATCTCTTTTCTTCATCTCTCTCTCTCTCTCTCTCTCTCTCTCATACCGAAAGATATGGAGACTCCAAGGACTTCCCACACACCGCAGTCATTCCTTCAGCCCCCTACTTACGGAAACCTAATCACTGTTCTTAGCATTGATGGAGGCGGAATAAGAGGGATTATCCCTGGAATAATACTCGCCTTCCTCGAGTCCGAGCTACAGGTATAAATGCTTTCTCTCTTTATCAAATCAAAAACATCACTGTGCATGTTCGATTTTGTTTTTGAAAATTGTTTTCTCCTTTTAAGGATAGAAACTCCAGTTGGCAAGAATTAAAACCCTGCTGTCTGCGTGAAATCATCATTTAGGAAGACAAGAAACGCCGTAAGGAACCCACAACCACCTAAGATAGATTGTGCATATGTGAATCACAAAGCAATAATTAAGTCTCCTAACAATAAACATCTCAGCCGCTGCATGAGAATTAATTATCTTAATCTTTCTTGTTCTTACACTACAAATGGGTTTCGTCTTTTGCTGCAGAAATTGGACGGTGAGGAGGCAAGAATCTCGGACTATTTTGATATAATTGCTGGAACAAGCACCGGAGGGCTTGTGACTGCCATGCTCACTGCACCAGATGAAAATAACCGTCCATTGTTTGATGCTAAAGGCATCAAAGACTTCTATCTTGAACACTGCCCTAACATATTCCCTCAGACTTGGTAATGACTATGTAAATTAAAATTATATAGATAGTATGGCAATAAATTAATTATTCTTTACATGTCTGAATTATTTTAATTATACAGGCACCCTTGTCCTCTGGCAAAAGCCCTGTCAGGACCCAAATATGATGGTCAGTATCTGCACCGTCTCGTGCGGGAAAAGCTTAGAACCACCAAGTTACACCAGACACTGACAAACATTGCAATTCCAACTTTCGACATAAAGAGGCTCCAGCCGATCATCTTCTCCACCTACGAGGTTAATTTCTTATCATCCCTTTACAGCTTAGAAATCATACTGCTTGCAAGTGCTGATTGAGTCAAGAACGTAAATTTCCGTTGTACAGGTGAAGGATAAGCCTTGCATGGATGCCTTGCTTTCTGATATATGCATTTCAACCTCAGCAGCGCCAACTTATCTTCCCGCTCATTCCTTCAAAACCAAGGACCCAGATGGAAAAGAGAAGGAATTTGACCTAATTGATGGCGGCGTTGCTGCAAATAATCCGGTACCCACCAAGTTTTACTTCAAAATTAGTACCCCTCAGTTGCTGTTCTCTTTCTTTGTCACTCATTTTTGCCACAATTTCTTGGTTTTTAGACTTTGGTTGCTATCAGAGAGGTGACGAAGGAGGTCATGAGGGGAAGTTCAGACTATTTCGCCATAGATTATGGTCGGCTTCTAGTTATATCGTTAGGGACCGGGTCACACAAGGTTGAGGAGAAGTTTAATGCAGATACAGCTGCCAAATGGGGCCTACTGGGATGGTTGCACAATTGTGGAACTACCCCCATAGTGGACGTGTTTAGCCAAGCCAGCTCTGATATGGTGGACTACCACCTTAATGTGATGTTTCAAGCCCGCCACTCAGAGAAGAATTATCTTCGGATTCAGGTAAATTTTTCGCTTTGGGGGGGGGGGGGGGGGGGGGTTGGGGAGGCGTGGGGGGGATCAAACAAAATGAAGTGAACTTTTTAACCCTTTTGACAGGAGATTTACGTTTTGGTCCTCATAATTTTTATTATAACATATTTAATCCCAAATTTTAGAGGTATAACAATTTGATTCTTCATTAGCTTTTTTAAACAAAAAGCCTCCATTTAAATTTACTCTTTTTTTCCTTTTTTTTTCTTTTAATCATCTATTGACACATGTATTGGTGAATCAAAATTACAGGATGACACTTTAACTGGGCATGTATCATCTGTAGATAAGGCGACCAAGGAGAATATGAATGAACTTGTCAAAGTTGGTGAAAGATTGTTGGAGAAACCGGTTTCTAGGATAAACCTTGAGACCGGTCTAGTGGAGCCCTGCGATAAGGAGACTAATGAAGAAGCTCTCCGAAGGTACATATTGGATAATCTTCAAAGAATTTGTTTCACATAGACATATTAATGGCTATTTATGTGTCTTTGATTTGCGTATTTCAGATTTGCGAAAATACTCTCTGATGAGAAGCGGGTACGAGACATAGGATTGCCGCACCCTTTTGTGGCTGCAAACCGGATGAAGAATCAAGAACCTCGGCTTATAGTTCCTCATTAGGCCTTGTTCGGTGGTGATTAATTTAACCATTCGGGTTGATGCAAATCATATGCATACACCACCTTCCACTTTCGTTTGTATCTTTCTCTTTCAAAACAATGGTCACCGTGTTGAGGCAGATATTAACTATGTATTCCTTATTATTTATTGCATAAATAGTAAGCTGTCTTTTAATGTTCAATCATAATACTTAAAGCCCAAAACCATGAAAGTAATCAATGGAACAGATCTTTTGTCAGCATACGAGAGTGACCTCGTTACTTCTGAAATGGAGCGAATGGACGGCAGTTAAACCAAATAAATGGGTTAAACGATGCAACAGTTAAAAGATAATAATTGATTTAACTAATAATGAATTATGAATAGAATAGATTTTAATTCGAATTCGATTTAAATTTTAAAATTTAAATTTAATTAAAATATTTAATAAATTAATTTTAATTATAAATATTTGTAATATGAAATAAGTAAACTAAATATAGAATTAAGTAACATGTTCTCTTAAAAATTCAAACTCAAACTTTAATTATTTGTTTTATTAAATTTATATAAATAACATTAATAATTCAAAGTTGTGTTGACTAAATAGAATAAATTAAAAAATTTAATGATTAATATGATTAATAAAATAGAATTTATAAATTTAAATATAAAAAAATACTATTTTCTTTTTAAATTAGATTTTGTAAACAAATTATGAATTATTTATTAGACTAAAAAATAGATTAATAGGTATATACCTTCTAGGATTTAATTGAATTTGGTTATGCAAAATGATAATCAAATTTGGATAACCAAATTTGATCCATATCAGACCGTTATGAGCTAATAGCTAAGTACCAGTGCTGAGGAAAGATTTTAGGACAACCTTTAAGGTGGAAGGCCTTAGGACTGTCAATGGGTTGAATTTTAATCTGAATCTGATCAGAATCTGATCCGAATTTTAGGCCGTTTAACCGATTAAAATGTCCGATGGATTGAATCCAATTATAAATATTCATAATTCAAAATAAGTGGACCGGATATGGAATTAAGTAATCCGATCTGTTAAAAATCTGAATCTGAATATTTTAATAATAATTTTTATTTAATTAATAATTATATATATTAATAAATACTTTTATATATAATGTAATATATATGACATTATAATTAAAAATCCATTAATTTGTATTTTTGAAACATTTTATTTAATAGAATAATGTATATTTTTTCTAAACTATTCTATAATATTCTTTTACTTTTCCTAATTTTAAATTTTCTAGTAGGTATTATATTTAATAATTAATTAATTTTAAAATTTCATGAAGTACTTGAATAAATTGATTATAAAATTTTCTAAGTTTTAACAATAATACAATAAAACTTGATAATTTTATACAGTATTAGAATCCTATCATTACTTTTGTAATATATTATATAATAAAAGTTTTTCTTAATCATTCATAAATAACAATTTATTTTTGAATTTTATTTATATTTTAATAAAAGTAAAATAATTAAATATAAATCTTATATGAATTTTTATCATTCATAAATAATAATTTATTTAATTTTACATATCTTTTACTTATTGGTTATTTGATTTTAATTATTATGAATAGTTATTCGGATCGGATTTTTTATTCGGATTTCGGATTTTTATCGGATTCGAATTCGGTAATAACAAGTAGAAATCCTATAGGATTTTGGGTTAGATTTGGATATATATATTGATAATCGGATTCAGATTTGGATCATCCTGATTTGATCTGAATCCGACACGTTTACATACCTAGAAAGCCTTATTATCTTTGGCAGCAAACATCAGCCTGTTCTTTTCATTAGGGGCAGTGAGCATGGTGGTCACAAGGCCACCAGTGCTTGTCCAGGCAATCACATCAAAATAGTGCGCTATTCGGGCATCTTCTTCACCATCGATCCTCTTCAGAAGCCAATAAAATTATAAATTAGTACTTGAGGGAAAAGAACGAGGAGTCTATTACCGCACATATATTCAGTACCACAAAGAGAATTAATACATTCCTACGGAAAGCACGCATTGTTCGAAACTTGGTCAGCCCGATAAATTAAAATCATAGTTAATAAAATAAGATAAAATAACAAAATAAGGATATAAAGATTTATGTAAAAAATTTTTAAATAAATTTAGGGTAAAAATCACGAGTGAGAACAGAAGAATTTTACTATGAGAAAAATAAGGGTTACAACCTCTCTCTATTTAAAGATGATAAATAATACTAATTTCTCTTTAAATAGGAGAAACCTCTCACTCTCACTCTCTCTATTTGCTCGGTGGATTGGTGCTCACTTGATGATTTGAGGAAGTGATTCCTTCCTTTATTGATATGAGAGAAATGGCCTCATTTTTCCAAAAAAGGGAGCTCTTGCATCCCACAATGTCAAAGAAGATGGCTTCTTTTGGTGCATAGGTCAAAAAGGAGCCACAAGCCTCCTCATCTTATAGCTGGATCCCACAATCTCTCACTTGAAGATTGGATTGAGTATCAATCATATTTTCATACCATCCTTTCTATATTGTCATTTTCATATTGTTTACTTCTCTATCAGGCCACAAAAGGATCGACATCAAATAAACTTATTTGTATTGATTGCTTTTGTCATAAAAATTTGCTCGGTTGTCTCTTGTATGATTTTTTTGCATATCCACAGTTCCCTTTTTCACTTTCTCATGAACGAAATGATACTGAACTCGTATGTGTTTTGTCTTTGAATGAAATGCTGGATTTCTTGTAAGATGTAAAACACTCTGACTGTCACAAAATAGAAAATCTTCTCTTGTTTGTGCCCAAATTCCTCAAACACTAACTTCAACCATATTGCTTTTTTATTGCTTGTGTAGCTGCCACATATTCTACTTCAGTTGTTGATGTAGCTATAACTGATTGTAGTTTTGAAACCTAGCTTACAGTTCCACCAGTAAGTGCAAACACATAACCTGTAATAGCTTGCTTTTATCAAGATCACATGCATAATTTGAGTCAACGTACCCTTCGACTATAGAGTCTGATCCTTTATAATATAATGCAACATCAGAGATTCCCTTAATATATCTTAGGATTTTCTTTATAACATTCCAATGCTCTCTAACAAGATTCGCCATGTGCTGGCTAATCACTCCTACTGCATGAGCAATGTCTGGCCTTGTACAAATCATAGTAAACATCAAGCTTCCCACTGCTGATGCATATGGTACGCGACACATCTCCATCCTCTCTTCTTTGCAACTAGGACTTATATTGAAGAATATTTTGAAATTAACAGGAAGTAGGGTAGAAATTGGCTTACAATCTTGCATGTTGAAGCGTCGTAAGACTTTTTTCAAATAATTTTCTAAGAAAGCCAAATATTCCTACTATTTCTATCTCAGTGAATTTGCATCCCTAACCAATTGAGCCTTCAATTCTTTGATACGATCTTTGTTGGGGTCTATTACCAACATGTCATCTACATACAGTAATAAGATAACAAAATCATTTTCATCAAACCTCTTGAAATATGTACAAGGTTCTACGTTAAGTTTGTTGTATCCAAGGCTCATAATGAAGGAATCAAATCTCACTATAAGAAATAGGCGAAATATCGACACAATCCATTTTCGTCGGAATACAGACAAAATTTTCGACGCATTCAGTGCCATAGAGGATTTCATAATAATATATAAATAAACATGGTTTAGAAGCCTAGCAATTATGGAATTCCTGAGTAGAACATCATAGAAAGTCCATTTTATTTTCTGAGTTCACCATAATATTCATAAAAATGGAATAAAAGAGCATAAGAGAGACATAAAAATCATAATCATCTACTACATAGAATATAGCTCTGATCGGGTGCGCACAATCGACAATATCTGAGGGTAGTAAAACATAAAAGTAAAGTCCGTCCCATGCACAGGCAAAATGTGTTGGGCGCTACTACATTGTGTAGCTTGCACTATGGGTCATCACTCCAAGTCAAACTGACACAGTCTATGGTATCTGAGACCCTACTAGGTCCAATGTCATAATCTAGAATGTAGATTTGTTACCTGCCTCAGATGGCTGCCCAACATTTTTAATTTGAGTGCCGAAGCATCAAAATCTCGCAAAATCATAAAATTCGCAATTATATTAGAATTTTGAACATAGACACTCTATTTCCATGTTTTCATACTAAAATACATTCATAGTCTAGAAAATAATTTATAACTGTCGTAAAATGTGCATTTTATTTGGGAAAAATCTAAGTTTAGAAGGCATGCCACTCACAATGTAGATAAACTCTATGGATGACTGGTGGGATCTGTTCGGCCAGTTTCAGGCTCAGCTCGACTCAGTCTCCTTCTCCTACAAATGGAGAAAATGCAAGCATAAGTAAAGTAGATGTATGATGCAATGCATACCAAAAGTTCTAGATGCTCTAAATCCTACTTGACTTTGGAATTGTGCTCTTGCTTAATCTTCATGTTTTTTTTTTATTTCCTAGATAATCATCCTTGATCTCTTTCTTAGCTTAATTATGCTTAGGTTTTAACTTCATTAAGAGCTCCTTAAAGGCCATAAATCATTTTTTTAATATCTTAATTTGCTAGAAAAAAATGTAAACACTTATCTAAAAGGCTAAGACTTAAAGTTGTTAGCCTCTTTGCCCTTATTTCTTTCTTAAACTTGTATTCATGCTTTAATCCCTCTTCAACCTTTATTTCTGCCCTCCATTTTACTCCCAATATGAGGCTTACCACTCCCCCAAAGTTCTCTTCCAAATCAAAATTTTTGCTTAAAGAATTTTCTACACTTATAGCAAAGTTTTCTTAGTTGGGTATATTCTGTTTTTATGCCAAATTTGGGTATTTCTTAATGCTTTCTTACTAATTTGGGTTGTCCATCTCTTAACTACTTACCTAGCTTAGTTTAGAACAGAATTTTTCCTTCCAAAATGGTTTAGCCAACATAGGTAAGTTGCAAAAATTTTTGTGTCAAAATTTTCCTGCACAACTT